CCCGACTCCTCGATCGTATGCTGAGGCGATCGAGGGTCCCTACTCCTCACAGTGGCAGTCAGCCATGGACGCAGAGATGGCTTCCTGGAAGTCCATAGGCACCTACGTCAACGAGGTTCCCCCACCTGGGGCGTACATCGTTAGTGGCATGTGGATTTTCAAGGTGAAGCGGCCACCGGGTTCTCCGCCTGTCTTCAAGGCGCGTTATGTGGCTCGAGGCTTTAGTCAGCGGCAGGGAGTTGACTACTTTTAGACCTTCTCCCCTACCCCGAAGATGACCACTCTTCGGGTGCTGCTGCACATAGCCGCTCAGCGCGACTACGAGCTTCACTCTCTTGACTACGAGCTTCACTCTTCAGGCAGGGGTGGCACGCGCCCCGGGTAGGAAAAAAAAATCTTGGTGGGCCCTAGGAACAGTTCCCACGAGGGAACCTACTCGATACCTTGAGAAACTTAGAACAAGAATGAATGACTAAGGAATGAAAGTGATACAAATATGAAACCCTAGAATTGTCCACCCCTTAGAATCAAACTCACTACAGCCTACACAGGCTAGATCATATAAGTTTGCCAGTGTGTGCCCGGGACCGCAGGAGGACGCTGACGTGGAACACGACGACTAGTGCGAGCAGCACAAACAGGCGACGCAAGACAAGATGCAGGCTCACGACGCTCAGGAAGACGTCCAGTAGGACCAGTGTAGGGAGGAGGAGCAGGCAGTGGGGAGGCGGGCTGTAACTGTGACTCGGACTGGACAGGCAGTGGACACTCTAAGGAAGGAGCAGGACCAGAAGAGGGCAGAAGACCAAGAACCTACTCAAGGAGCAGAACGAAGTACGGCCGTGGCCACGCAGCACCTCCACAACGAGTAGGGACAGGACCAGCACCGCAAGGGTCGGCCACGACTCTAGCAGCTCCACCAGCTCCAGGAGCAGCTACACCAGCTCCAGGAGCAGCTACACCAGCACCCATCGGAGCACCGACAACAGCAGCATCTCCAGCTCCAGCACCTCCAGCACCTCCAGCTCTAGCAGGAACACCGGAAGACCTAGCAGCCCCAGCTCCAGCACCTCCAGTAGCACCTACTCCAGCAACACTGCCAACTCCACCACCGCCAGCAGCTCCAGCACCATGAGCACCCCCACGCCCAGTGGCTCCAGTACCTCTAGTACAAGCACCTCCGAGACCCGTGGCGTCAGCACCCTCAGCACCAATAGAACCTCCAGCTCCATCGGCACCTTCAGCTCCAACAGCACATCTCCAGCGCCGAGCAAACCACTCGAGCAGCTCCTGTGGAGAGGGTAGGTAAAGTCGGGACGAACCACCTGAAGGACCTCCAGACCCAGTACCGCGAGACTCCACACAAGTAGGTCCAGCACCCGCAGTCTCTGCACCCCCAGTCGCAGCACCCCCAGGCTCAGCACCCCCAGACTCCGCACCTGCAGGCTCACCACCCCGAGCGGCACCAGAGTCAACAGCTACCTCGACAGGCTCGACGTCTACCTGGGACACACCTGAGGGGGCATGACCCTGAGGGGGAAGGGGGTCTACCAGGGGAGGACCTGTCGCGAGGAAGAGCGGGGGCGAGGGGAGGGGGGCAGTGCGGTAGAGGAAGAGATGGTACTAGGGAACCGACTCGTCAAACGTGACGTCCTAGGAAGACAGAACACGGCGCGAGGTGGGGTGGTAAAACTGCCAACCAGGCGCGTCAGGAGGGAAGCCAAGGAAGACGCAGGGAATAGCGCGGGGGGACAGCTTGTCGGCGGACAAGTCGCGGACAAAAGCCCGAGATCCTCAGAGACGGAACAGAGACGCATCGCCAACCTTCCCCGTCCACAGCAGAGTAGGGGAGGTCTCCGGCAAGGAGACCCGGGGCTGAAAGTTGATCTGGTGCGCCACGTACTGAACAGCGAACGACCACAGAAAATGGGGTGCACCCACATGGATCATGGGCGTATGAGCGACGTCCATGACCATGCCTATGCGGCGCTCAGCAATCCCATTTTGCTGTAGAGAGGCCGGAAGCAAGAACGTCTAGCGGATGCCCTGTGCACGTCATAAGGCCCGCACAAGGTCGGAGGAAAACTCCCCGCCTCTGTCGGAGTGTAGACGCAGAATAGGAAAGTTAGAGCTGAAACTCTCTCTGAGCTGGAGACGAGCTACGCGGATCCAATCGACCAACACCTCAATGACCTCACCCTTGCTGCGCAAGGGGAAGACTGTGGTGTAACGCGAGTAGTCGTCAACCACCAGCAGGAGGTAACGCTCGTGACCCTGTCCACGGACGCGGGCGGGGCCCATACATCCAGGTGAAGCGTATACAGCGGAGCCTTTGTTGGAGGAAAATTGGAGGAGTGAGGAGCGGACGATGCCGCCCCTCGACGCAGGGAACGCAGGTAGGGGCAGGCCCAGGAGGTAGGGGAGGGAGGGACCGGGGGAGTCTAGAGACAAGGAAACGAGAGGCCATGCCTCGGAGATGAGGAAAGGAGGGGTGACCAAGGCGGTGGTGCCAAAGGAGAGTCTGGTGAGACACGTGACAAGACGAGCAGGGGGCAGACTCAGGACCAGACCTGGACGCTACAGCAAACACCTGACCCGACGCAGCTACCTGACCAGACTCAGCAGCCAGAGGAGACTCAGTAGTCAGTGTGTACAGGCTCGACCCCAGCCGACGGGTAAACGTGGCCAAGTGTCAGCCCGCCCGAGCACACGTACAGTGTGTCACTCGCTGACTCGCAGGAGTGAACTGGTCAACCCCCCCAACCTGTAGGTCAGCACCACTCACCAAGTTCGTAGAGAACGAGGGGAGGTAAAGACCTGACACGGTGCTAGAAGGGGCCGCCGGACACGATAAGACAGTGGAGAAGTGGGCAAGGACAGGACCCCCAGAGGGGTCTGCCAGGGAGACTGCAAACGGCCGACTAAGCGGCGTGAGTGTGGTGCGGTCTCGAAAGAAGGAGCGGGAAGCACCCGAGTCAAGGATAAAAGTGTGCAAAGCCTTAGCCGACGTGGTACCTAAGAGAGCAGACTCACCAGCACCTGGGCCAGTAGACTCACCACCACCTGGAGCAGTAGACGCACTAGCACCTAGAGCATGTAGCCTCACCAGCACCTAGAACAGCAGCCTCAATGCCCGGGTCAGGCGGAACACACATGTAACAGTCACCCTCATCACTAGTAGACACAACATACATGGCAGCAAGAATCGCATCTTAATCAAGATCAAAGATAGCAACCCCCTACCTAAGCAACTCGCCCTAGCGAGGGATCTCAGTGGCGTCAGGGAAGTGGAGATGCTTGGCGCCCGTCAGGCGGCCGAAGCAGGGCTGGGTAGTGTGCGGGCCACCGTATGGCTCACTAGTGCGGTCGCCGGTACGCAGGACGTAGGTAGAGAGACCAGGACCCCCAACCCGCTGACGCGCAACGTACCACTCACGAAGCTGCTGGGGGGGAGGGGTCTCACGAGTGCCTGCTGCTACTGGCGCTGACCACCACGGAAGCCGCCCTGCTGCTCAGAGCCACCCCGACCAGCTCCGTCGCCACCATCGCCGCCACCACCGCCTCCTCCGCTCCTACCGCCACTGCCGCCGCCGCCTCCGCCTCCACTGGCGCCACCGAAGCCCCCACCCCCACCACCACTCCCACCGCCACCCCCACTCCCTCCGCCGCCTCCACCGCCACCTCCACCGCCACCTCCACCGTCCCCGCCAGCTCCTCTAACGCCCTTGCCCTCCTTGCCCTTGCCGTTGCGGCGTCTCCCGCTCGGGGCAGACGCAGCGCCGACCGACTGAGTGCCAACGAGGTCGACTGTAGCAGCAGAGGCAACAGAGGTCAAAAGGGGGGAGGGAGAGCACCCCTCAAAGAAGGGGGCACGAGGGTCACCACGAGAGGCTACTACAGCGACTATACTCTTCTCAGCGAAGGGGCTGCGAAGGGTGGCGAAGGGGCTGAGAAGGGCGGCGAGGGGCCGTGAAGGGGGCGCGAGGGGCCGCGAGGGGCCACGAAGGGGCCGCGAAAGGGCCGTGAGAGGGGTCGCGAAGGGGCCTTAAGAGGGCGCGACGGGCCGCCAAGGGCAGGGGACGCGACGGGAGGGCAAGCGCACGGGTGCGACCAGGGCAAGCGCGAAGCGCGCTCCGGGCAGGTAAAAAAATAATATCGTTTCAGTGGTGGGCCCTAGGAAACGTTTCCACTAGGGAACTTGCTCTATACCATGTGAAATAACGAGGAATGATTGACTAGGAAATGAGTTGGGTACAAATTTGTAACCCTAGGAAACTGTACCCCATACTGTCTACCCCACTACAGCCTAGAAAGACTATAGCATAAATGTTTGACAGGTGGTATGCATCACCTATAATATATTATGTTGTTACGTAATCACGATTTGACACGCCGAATTCAATTCCAGAAGAAGGCGACGCACGCGCTGTAGTAGGTGGCGGTCAAAACCCCCAATAAATAATATGAACTCAAAGTTAGGTTTCTTTTAACAATTATCTTTTACTTATGGTTCGGCTTGTTTGCCGAGTCGTTTGGTCAGCTCCGTGCTGAAATCCTACGGTCAAGATTTTCCAACCCTACTTCGATCACCCTTCTGGCACTGTTCGGCCCCAATATGGTCTTTTCCCCCTTCGAGAAGCCGCATGGTCTGCTCCCTATCAAGTTGCCACACCTCTACAGTCTTCTGGATGACGGAAAGCTCTTCACGGTCACTTTTGCTAGTTCACTGTTGTCCCTTCGTAACCCCTGCAGGACGCGAGTTCATGGACCTTTGCTCCCGTGGCCACGTCGCAAACCTCATACGCACGATTCTACAAGTCATAGCACATATATCCGGATCTACGGTGCTCCACCGCCCTACGTGGCCTTACAACACTCTGTGATTCGTCCAAAGACCTCCCATCACCATTTTCGGCGCCACAGCAAGGCCGATCCTTGTCAGCATGGATCCTCTCGTCTTATTAAACTTTCATGGAACTGCCCGTTTCTCCTCATGCCGCATGGCGGTGCCGGTCGGCAATTTGCAACCAAAAGGTCACGCACCACATGTCACTATCGGCCCAGCTATGGCTGGATTTGGCTCCCGCTCACATCACTCAGCTACCTTGAACGGAATGTCTCGTCAACATTGGTCTTGCTGGCACCAGCAACCAACCCTTGCGGCGGATTTGGCCGCTACATGGCCTTCTTCCTCCTCCACGGCTCTTCCTGCTTACTCATCGCTGAGCAAACCGTGTTCCCACGCCTGTTCTCCCTCAAGAGACAGCGTGACCCCTCTGGGGCATTCCTGAAGCTCTTAAGCCATTGCCTGTGCTTTGAACCGCGTTTTACCCTACACCCGGGTTCCCCCGGCTCCGTTTCCCCTTGCAAACAACTATCGCCATGGAACCGGCTCACGGCCTACTTAACCTGCTCTTTTGGACTGCTTTTCCTTGACACTCCCACCATAGCATCTGCTCCTCCTGCGTTTGATGCTGTCATGGCGGAGACCGGAGGCCCTATCCCCTCCGTGAGTGATCTCTTGTCGGATGACGGTCCTCAATCTCCTCTTGCTAAGAAGGTTTGCACCAGAGAGGCTTCGTCCTCCGCGCAGCCTGTCCCTATTCAGCCGTCTCAACCCGACGCTGGGTTGGACGACATCACGCTCAACGCGGCTGACACAAGCTCCGCGCCACTCCCTATGCTGAATGGCCCGCACCAACGATTGCGTTGTAACCGTGGTATCGTGGGTGTGGTTGATTCGCTGATTTGTGATACGCTCAACCTCGTTACGATCATCTTCCCTGACAGCCTTACTGAATCTCACCGGAGCAAGATTGTTAACCGTGTTCGGCTCGGACTTCGCCCTGCGCAGTTTCCGCACTTTGGTCGTGTCCCTAACTTTGAGTCATCGGCTGGAGAGATCCTGCGTCTCCCCCGTCGCTCCTACATACGCCACATCTTCCAGCTGCCGACGCGCGACGACGCGAGGTGCTTCCGACGTGTCTTCCCTATGACCTACACTGCCAACGGCGTGTTGGTTGAACTGAAAGTCTCCGACGACCCAGAGCCCTCATTCACCGCTGCAAAGGCGCGGGGCGATCCCCACCTGGTCTTGCGCAACGTCCCTCTGGGGTATTCCCTTGAGGGGATCCGTCGGCTGCTCACTACTAGCCTTCGCGAAGGCGAACGGAGGTGGCTCTCTGAAGTTCGATCCTTTCACCGTGTTCATGACCCATACGAGGAAGTGTCCCTTCCCCAGATGATGGGTATCCCCATTGCAGATTACGAAGATCAGCTTTTCGACCGCATCCCCGCCATCATCTGGCTTCCGGACGTCACCGCTCCTATCATCCTCAACATCTCCTGCCACGAATGCGAGATATGCACGAGTAACCACCGCTCTCGTGATCATGCGTGCTTCGCGGCCGCTCAACGCTCGTGAATCCCCAACCCTTACCAAGTCTCTGTTGGACAGCTGCAAAACATTAATGGTGACTCTTTTGTTCTTTTGCATCTCACATATCCTGCCCGGCTCTCTGATCTTACCCTGCACTACCTCAACCCCCCCCCTTGTGTCTTGCGGTTCTATCTATACCTACTCCTCTTGACCAGTTGTAAGAAACTTGGATATGGTACTTGACACGCTTTAAATCTCAATCATCGTTTTCCCCTAACCGCGTGTTAGGCCTTATGCCTTCCATAACCTTCCACCCTCACCCCTCTCCTATGGTTCTTCTCTACTCTGGTTGCCCCTCTCTATGTGACCACAGCAAAGCTGCTCGGGCAGACCCTCGTTCCCCTGGCAATCAAGGCCGGCCCCGCATCATTTACATCGGCCTGGGAGACGATATCGAAACCTAGACCTGCGCTCTGTGCGACTTCGAGTGTGGCCTTGCACTCGACTCTACTTTCAACCACATCCGCTCACCAGGGCACAGCCTTTGCCTCATGCAATCAGAGACTCAGCAGCTGCCAATGGAGATTCTGGAAGAGCAGAAAGTGCATCTTTTGCTGGAAAAGGCAGAGATTGCTACCTTCTTTGCATCCGAACTCTAAGTGATGTGTTGGACCGTTCAGATGGCATGAGGCCGTTAGATCTAGCAATTGTAAGCCGATGGGGTCCTGCGCTTGACCCTTCTCTTGCTAATCCGCTCCCTCCTTGTTAAAACTCCTGCCCACTTACACTTGCATATAACTCATAAGGAATCAGTACTCCAACACAATGGTACTCGATGTTACAGGACAAAGCAGGAACTTCTCAATTCCCCGTGGATGAGCACATTTAGGTGTGCTGGGGCCAAAACCAGTGATAAATGTTAATCCCACTCCACATCAAATGCATGAACATTAACGGATTGAACTCTCTGGAGAAAATGGACCAACTCAAAACTACGCTCACACACCTTCCCAACATCCTCGTGCTTATAGACACCAGACTCAAAAAAACCTTCACCAAGTTGCGCTACAAGTTCCGACCTACGGCTTATGCCCAAGCACCCCCTAAGATGAGTGGTGGGAAAGCCGCTCCTGGAGGAATAGCACTTTTGGTCTTCAATCCTAGGATCTCCATTCTCAGTCGCACCACCTCTGACGATGGGCGTATGCTTGTTACCCATATTAGTTTCCTGCAAGAACAGCTCAAAATCATTAGTGTTTATGCGCCCAATTATCTCCCTAAATGGCAGCAATGGTGGGAGAACACTCTCCTACCCGCCCTGGAAGTACCCACCCCAGCAGATGTTACATTAGTCATGGGGGACTTCAACAATGTCCTCACCCCTGCAGACAGAAACTCGCCACTCAAAACCTGCGAAATCTCGGAAGGTAACATGCTTGCAGAGATTCTAACTGCGCACAACCCGGAGGACCCCCTACAAGAACGCCAACTTGTCGACCCGGTGTTCACCTTTGAATCCTCACGGCAGGACGGCTCCTCCTCGTTTTATCCAGCCTCTCGTTTAGACCGAATATACATCAGCAAAGCCTGGCTCCCTCGTATCCTCACCGCATCTCATCAGCCCCTTCCGCATTCAGTTTCTGACCACTCTCGCTACCCTGAAATCCGACTGGGCATCAACAACCCCAACTGCGCCCCCCGCGCCCGGCGCTTTCCCCATATACTCACACAGTGGCCCTTCACATTCCAACTTGTACAGGAAGCATGTCACCAGCTCCCCTCGCCACTCGTGCCGGAACATTGGGACCCATGGAAACACAAGTTATGCGCCTTTCTTAGACAATAATATAAACAAGAAAAACTTCGCGTCGAGAAAACCACGTCTCACATTCAAAACGAAATCTGCAAGCTCCAACTCCACCTGGTCCGCACCCCGCAAGATACAGAAGCAAGGGTCGCCCTAAATAAAGCCTTAAAACAACTCGATCAATACATTGCATGCAAGGCTGCAGACATTGCCATGAAGGCAAAACTCAAGGTAGAAGGAGCGAAGGAGATGGGTTTACCCTCCCTCCTTGTCGGACTCACCACCAGGATCAAAGCGGACCAGATCACTCGCCTCACGCTTCCATCAGGACAACAAACGACTGACCTACGAGCCATGTCGAACCTCTGCTCCAACTTCTACGAAATCCTCTACAGTGGAGGTACAGGTACTTCTCCTTCGACCTCCTTCTGGGACCACATCTACCCCTTCTCGCTCCCTGGTCGCACGTGCACCCGAATCGCAGCACCCATCTCCCTCGCTGAAGTCAATGCAGCAATGTCTTCCCTCTCCAAAGGCAAGACACCGGGACATGATGGTCTAGCCAGTGACTTCTACCACACGCACAGCTCCACCCTCGTCCCTATCAACGGGAGTGTTGTTATGCCCCGTCCTCGCTTGGGCGGAGCCGACCTTGTGGTCGGGTGTGTGGGGATTGCAGCCGACCTGCGGCAGTGGGCACGGGGGCCACTGCAAGGGTGCCGAGCTGGAGGGTGCCTGGCTGGAGGGCGCCGAGCAAGAGGACGCCGCCGTGGACGCCTGGACGGCGTAACCCTGTGACGACCGCTGCGTAGCCTGGTCGTCAGCCCAAGAAGCGTCTGCGTGTCCAGTGAGGACCATTGGACTGCGCCCTCCAAGCACTAGCCCCATGCCCGACGTACTGCACAAGTAGCGCAACACCCTCTTCATTGCAGCCATGTGCTCCGGTCTGTGTCTCCCAGGAGCAACATAGCGTGCAAGAATGCCAAGAGGGTATGCAAGGTCAGGTCGTGTGCAGGTCATCAGGTACATGAGGCAGCCAACAAGCTGTGGGTACGGGCCACTCGACTCTACGGACTCATCCGAAGGCAGAGCTGAGAGCGAGTGGCGAGTAGGCAAAGGAGTGGCCTGAGGCGAGGAGAACGTGAAGCCGAAGCGCTGAAGGACCTGCTGCACCATGTGTGACTGAGTCAGGATAAAGGTGCGCTATGCTCTGTCCCGGGTGATCTGCAAGCCAAGGTAGCTGCGCAGTTCACCCAGGTCTGTGCACGTGTGTCTCTTCTGCAGCTCGGACTTCACGTGGGCGAGTCCAGCAGTGTCAGCAGTGGCAAAGACCAAGACGTCGACGTACACAAGGATGTAGAACAGCGGCAGAGAGATGTCGGTGCGTAGAAACAGCGACGAGTCGGCAATAGAAGGAGCAAACCCAAGAGCCGCAAGTGTAGTCCTCAGTGTGTCGTGCCACTCACGTGGCGCCTGGCGGAGACCGTAAACTAGACGCCAGAGGCTCCACTGGGTACCAGGAGGGAACAACCCAGTGAAGCCGGGCGGGCGGCGCAGCCAGATTTCCTCGTGCAGGCTGCCCTGCAAGAAAGCTGTGCTGAAGTTGAGAGAGCGCAGCTCGTAGTGACGGTGAGCAGCAACGTGCAGCAGTATCCGAAGAGTGGTCATCTTTGGGGTGGGAGAGAAGGTCTGAAAGTAGTCAACTCCCTGCCGCTGACTAAAGCCACGAGCCACGTAACGTGCCTTGAAGACAGGCGGAGAACCCAGCGGCCGCTTCACTCTGAAGATCCACATGCCACTGATGATATTCGCCCCACGAGGGGGAGCGGCGTCAACGTAGGTGCATTTGGACTTCCAAAAAGCCATCTCTGCGTCCATAGCTGCCTGCCACTGAGAGGAGTAGGGACCCTCTATCGCCTCCGCGTAAGAGCGCAGAGTCGGGATGTCAAGTGCATCCGGGTCTCCTTCAGGGGTAAGCAGTACGGACACGAGATGAGGTGAAGCAGCGGCCAAGCAGTGGAACTCCTCCTGCCTGTCCTCAAGGACGTCCGTGCCAAGGGCACACTCACCCCCGACGGATGGAGGACAGACAGACTCAGACTCAGCAACAAGACGGGCAGCGTAGTCTAAACGACAGCGAGCAGCAAAGTCGACGAGCTCAGCAACTAGGGCAGACGCAGCAGTGGACTCAAAGGAAGGGTCAGTGACAACCGTAGCAAGGAGACGCGTGACAGTAGGACTGGCAGCACGAAGAGAGTCCGACTCCGGGTCGGCAAGAGCAAGAAGAATAGACTCAGGAGGAGAAGGCAAAGGGGCTTGCAATGGAGCAGTGGACGGACGCAGAGACATCCGGTGCGTGCCAGGGACAAGAGGAGGACGCTGACGCGAACCGCGACCACTAGTGCGAGGAGCACGGACAGGCGACGCAGGGCGAGATGCACGCTCACGACGCTCAGCAAGACCTCCAGTAGGACCAATGTCGGGAGACGGAGCAGGCAGTGGGGAGGCCGGCTCTAACTGTAACTGTGACAAGACAGGTTGTAGACACTCTAAGGGAGGAGGAGGACCAGTAGAAGGCGGGAGACCAAGAACCTGCTGAAGGGGAGGAACAAAGTACGGCCAAGTCCGCGCGGAGACTCTAGACACAGCAGGGACAGCACCAGTACCCCCAGCGGCAGCACCAACACCAGCAGCACCTCCTGCTCCAGTACCTCCAGCAAAACCAGTAGCACCCTTAGCAAGACCGCCTCCAGGACCGGCAGCAGTAGCTTCGCGCCAGCACCCGAAGCAGCTCCCGCTCCAAAAGTACCCGCAGGCCCAGCAGCTCCAGTATTCCGAGTACGAGCACCGCCGGGACCCGTGGCACCAGCACCCACAGCAGCAGCAGAACCTCCAGTACCCGCAGCACCTCTAGCTCCAGCAGCTTGCCTCCAGCGCCGGGCAAACCACTCATGCAGCTCCTGTGGAGAGAGTGGCTCCCGGCGAGACGAAGCACCCGGAGAACCGCTAGGCTCAGCACCGCGAGACGCCCCGCGAGCAGGCTCAGCTCCCTCAGGCTCAGCACCTCCAGGCGTAGCACCCCCAGGCTCAGTACCCCCAGGCACAGCACCCCCAGGCGTAGCACCCCCAGGCTCAGCACCCCCAGACTCAGCACCCCGAAGCTCAGCACCCCTAGTCGTAGAACCCACACGCTCAGCACCCCCAGAGTCAGCACCCCCAGAGTCAGCACCCCTTGGCT